GATGTGTACAATTTGGGGATGTCCTCTGCTAGTTCTGTTCATGGATGCTGAGTAAAGAACCGTGTGGGGACTCAGCAAGTCCATAGCAAATGGGACATAGTTTTATGAAGGTGAAAAGTGAAAGTCATTTAGTCATGTCTGACTCTTTGAGACCCCAAAGACAATGGACAAAAAAATGATGATTTAAAATAATCAAAACATTTTACAGATGAGCCTGTTTACAGGGCAGGAATAGAGACACAGACATAGAGAATGGATGTGTAAACACAGTGAGGAAGGGGAGGGTGGGAAGTATTGGGAGATTGGGATTGACAAATATACACTACCATGTGTAAAATAGCTAGCTGGTGGGAAGCTGCTGTATAGCACAGGGAGTTCAACTTGGTGCTCTGTGATGACCGAGAGAGGTGGGATGTGAGGGGGAGGGGAGAGAGCTTCAAGAAGGAGATATGTGTATGCATATGGCCGATTCATCACTTTGTTGTACAGCAGAAACCAACAGAACATTGTAAAACAATAATACTCCAATAAAAATTTTAAATAAATAAAATAATCAAAGCAAAAACTAACAGAAGAGAGAAATCAATGTCACCATGTGCTTTGGAAGTTAGTTCAGTTAAACACTAAATTTAGGTCTGGACCTGCTGATAGCAGATATATTTTCTCTTTTGGCCTAAGTTAATTGTCTTTCCTATTTCACACATGTTAAATTCCGAGTAGAGCTCCAGTTTTTACTTACATCTCCTGAACCGAACTGCTATTCCCAAACTCATGCCCTTTAAAGATGAGAAATGTCATTGTTTTTCTTTCCCCCTAGAGCCTAACATTTCATCTCGATGTATTTCTAACTTATTAGAAAAGCAAAACTAGCTGTACCAAAAATACCCAGTGGGGAATCTCTCTCTCACCAAACATATACTAGAACCTGATAACAAAAATAACCCAGTTTGCAAAATTGGCAGTAGGGGTTTTCTGGAGATCAAAAGAGTTTTCTTACTAGTTTAATAATTCCAGTAACCCTGGAGGTCTAGCCACTTTCCAGACCCTGCTCAGCAATGAAGAACTCAGAAAGTCGCTGATTCGCCCATTCCAAATCAGTTATCCAATCAGATGAGACCTGTTACTCAGTGTCTCTGTAACAGTGTCAATGTGATGGAAATGTCTGGGATCTCAAGGCCACTTCTTCCAATAACTAACTGGCTGGATTCCACTGAGCAATTCTTTTATTCTCTTTGAGCTTACTGTCTTCATTAATTCAACAATTATTTATTGAACATCTAAAATGTATCAACCACTGTACCAGATGAAGGGGATAGCCCTACCCTCAAGATGACCACCACCTAGAGACAAGAATATATGGCAAAAACACTTTGCATTCTATACAGCGACAGTTGCTCAGTCTTGTCTGACTCTTTTCAACCCCGTGGACTGTAGCCCACCAGGCTCCTCTGACAATGGGATTCTCCAGGCAAGAATACTGGAGTGGGTTGCTATTCCCTTCTCCAGGGGATCTTCCCAACTCAGGGATTGAACCTGGGTCTCCCGCATTGTAGGCAGATTCTTTATCACATGAGCCACCAGACTGTAACTGTTAATTTTCTTATGTGGGTACCTCACTAGTTTTGCACATAAAATAAAAACATGTGAGTCTATGAAGGAACAAATAAATGATCGAGCAAGTGAGATACAATGGCTGTTTTCTAGCCACTTTGTCTTGTGCCATTGCCACATGGTCCCATTTGTCTAATAACTTAGTCCCAAGAAGTCTGTTTTGACTTGACCTTCCTCAGCCTTTTACCCTCAGGAAATCCTCATCTGTTGGCTGTCATCTGCCCCCTTCCTTCTTCCCTTGGCACAGTCACCCAGAATCTACCTCCATCACTCATAGCACCCCTAAATATTTTCCTAGACCATAAATTCAATAAACATCCATCGAGCACATAATATATATAGCAAACTCTGGGCAAACTAAGATGTTGGCAAACATAGACCCTGCTCCACATGGTGTCTGTGGATGGTGCTTACACATTCCATTCACTGCCACAGGATGTATGTGCTATTCCTTTGACCTGAAGCTACTGAGACACAGCCAGAGTGGCATCTTGAGTTTCCTAGAAGAGTGTTATGACAACAAATTCTCCTACCTCTCACCTACCACCTGACACCAGCCCCCCATACAATAACATTTAACCCAAATAGATATTTTTGGTGCAGGAGCAGCTTAAATTTTCCAACCACTAACTACTAGCTTGTGACTTCTGATACCACACCAAGTGCTGAGTGCCATTCTCTCATCTCTACCCTAGCATCATTTCTCCTCTGTTATGTGAACAACAATCGACACACCACTTTCTCCAAACAGTATTACTTAAGAAATCACTTTTTTTAATAAAATAGCATTTGAATGGCATGTGAGAGAGTGCAACACCATTTTCCTACATTACATCAGTTAATATTCATAGCAATACTTGAGGCTCACAGGGGTCAGTCGCTAGACCATAGGTCATAGAGTCAGTGAAGGGGCAGTTGCCAGTTGTACACAAGTCTTCTAAGGTGGGAATCCCAGAGCTTGCCCAGAAGGACCAAATGGTAGCCCATTTGGTCCAAGCCTCACATTCACAGAAAGCCACAAAGTAAGTGATTAAGTGTTAGCACCAATAATAAGACACAGAGAGTTAAAGAGATACCTCATGGATGGCAAGAGGAGAAGGGGGCGACAGAGGATCCAGAGATGGTGGGATGGCATCACTGACTCAATGGACGTGAGTTTGAACAAATGGGAGATAGTGAAGAATGAGGAAGCCTGGCATGCCACAGTCCATGGGGTTGCAAAGAGTTGGACATGACTGAGCCACTGAGCAACAACATCGGGATGAAAAGAAGAAAATGTTCACCGTGCAGTTTTAAATTTGTGTTTTCCTTTTGTGACATGGTTTTGGCATTTTGATTTTTCAGTGTATTGAGAATTTCGAACAATGGAAGTTGCCCATGCCTCTCCTAAACTTAGAATCTTGACAAACCCCATTTTTACTCATACAACATCACTAAAAACGTTGCTTATTTGCTGTCACTTTTCCATCTGGAAATAAAATTGGCTGGATTTTCTTTGATTTATGTGTTGTGCTTGCTAAGTCACTTTAGCAAGTCCAACTCTTGCGACGCCATGGACTGTAGCTCCTCTGTAGAACCCCAGGCTCCTCTGCCCATGGGATCCTCTGGGCAAGAATACTGGAATGGGTTGTCATTTCCTTATCCAGGGGATCTTCCTGGCCCAGGGATTGAACCTGCATCTCTTGTGTCTCCTGCATTGGCAGGTGGGTTATTTACTACTAGTGCCACCTGGGAATCTGTCACTTTTCCATTTGGAAATAAAATTGGCTGAATTTTCTTTGATTTATACTCCAGTTATATATATGTGTGTGTGAATATATATATATATCTCTTCCATCTCAGCTCCCTATTAAAAAAAATTTTTTTCCCCTGACCTAGGCACACCATAAAGCCTATCAGAACACATGCTCCTGCCTGAGCGGGTCCACAGCTCACCAGCAGGGGTGTGGTCTGCAAGCTTTTCTTCTCAAAGAACCAACTGGTCACATATTCAATTCCACCCTGAGAAATTCCCTTCTGCTAGCATATGATGGTTGTGGATGCAGACAGCAAAGGGAGCCTCTGGATTACTTAAAATCATCGTGTATTTAGGCCTCAATGTCTTCATCCATAAATTGAAGGAAATAACACTCTGTAATAAAAATTAATGGAAGATCATCAAGAGCTTTCCAGAGTTGTAGATAGACTTGCAAGATGTCACAGGCAATGCCAGGCTCTTAACGTTAATATCTTCCCCATCCTTAACTGAGCACAACAGCTGCACATCTGAAAGGAGTCGGCAAGTTTTCCGCTCACAGTTGCAATCACAGACCCTCTTAAGTATCTCTTCAATCGCTCTCCTCCCATCATAACTAGGCTGTGTTCATGAGCCTCTCCTGCTTTGTCCCCACTGTGGGGGTAAATGATTCAGAGTCAGAGGCCAGCAGATTCCTGACCCCTGCCAGCTGCATGCCCCTCTGTCCCACACACTCAGGGCATCCTGGAATGACGGAGTGGTGTCATCCACTGTGGACTGGCTCCAGTAAAGCCTCCACCAAGATCTTCTCTTGAGTGCCTGGGGGTGATTGCGCATCCCTGAGCCAACATTAAATGCTTTCCATTTTTTTCCCCTCTCCCTATTTATTATAGCATTTCAGAAAGTTGACAAAGTGAACTATTCTCCAGTAGAGGAAATAATACAAAGCTTGAAAGTTGTTTCTGATGGAATGGTGAAATAATTTCACTACCTTTCTGGGAGGAAAAAAAAAAGTCAACCTGAGGCGGCAGCCTCTAGGGATTTCATTATTGCTAGATTGGAGGGAAACCTAAAGGCTTTAGATAAACAGGTTTTTCTTTTAACTCGTTAGAGCACTTTGGGACGAACAGAAGAGAAAGACAGATGTTAGACAGTAGAATAAACCTAGCTCCAGCTTATTTACATAATTTTGTATGGCAATGCATTGATGTATGAAGTATAAAGTGACTGTGTTGAATAGTGAAAATAAAACTATTTTGGCAAACAATCTGTGTTCACTGCCCAGTTCTCGAATGAGGGGACGTTTTATGAAATACCTCTTGCTATTTTGTGTGAAAATTACCAGTGGTTTAAGTTGTGTGTGCAGTTTTAGGAAAACACAATCTTTTAAGCTATTATTTCAAATAAGTCTTTTTTTTTCATTTATTTTTATTAGTTGGAGACTAATTACTTCACAACATTGCAGTGGGTTTTGTCATACATTGACATGAATCAGCCATGGAGTTACATGCATTCCCCATCCCAATCCCCCCTCCCACCTCCCTCTCCACCCGATTCCTCTGGGTCTTCCCAGTGCACCAGGCCCGAGCACTTGTCTCATGCATCCCACCTGGGCTGGTGATCTGTTTCACTATAGATAATATACATGCTGTTCTCTCGAAACATCCTACCCTCACCTTCTCTCAATTCTCTTCAAGAATTCTTAAGAATACGTTCTCTAAGCAGAGGAGACGTTGAGTGGGAGAGGCGAGGAGAAGAGGACCATTTACACCTCTCTGACGTTGGCTGGTCCAGGTGCTGTTTCCCCATGATTAAAGACTATCAGGAGGGCTGGGAAAGTGTGGGGATCAAAGAATATAAATAGCAAACTTGTGCAGGCCACATTACTTTCTCAATAAGGGAGTAGGGGATTTGAAGGTGAAAATAACTATCTTTTACTGCATGCAAAGGTTTGTGCTATGTGAGAAACTCCATCCTGACTTCCTCTTGGCAAGTATTCCTTAACAGGCCTCACAGATACCTGAAACCAATTCTAACCCACTCTGGTCCTCCACTGACCACGACGTTACCTGAATGGTGTGGCCCAATTTCCCGACTGCTCACCAGTCCTCAGGCCTATGGGGTGAGTAAACATCTCGTGAGGGACAGGCTTGGTGAATACTGATAAAACCCGGAACCTTGGGGCTATTTCTTCTGTCTTGAGGAGGAAGCAAACAGTTCTTAAAATTCACTGCATCGAGAAGCTTCTCTCTTTTCCCTTGTTGCTGATGTGAGCTCATTCTCCTTTTTAAAAATGCAATTTTTTATTGTCACCAATATTTTTAACCAAAGATGAATTTAGAAAAATATAAAAGAAGTAATGTGTCCTCACAAACTGCTATGTTTTAAAGTTTTGAATATTAGGCCAGGTTCCTTATAGCTGAAGGGAGTGGAATAAAAAAAACTGCTGAGAAGCAATTAGACTCCCTCCCAGTAAACCAGAGGGTCAGAGATGGGAGAGGAGCAGAATCTTAGAGTTTGTGGTACCCTTGGAGGTGGCCGACCCCATGTCTAAACAGAGAAAAAGTCATCTCAGATCTCAGATGTGCTCAAAACACAACAGCCTGAGCCGGCAATTCTCAAAGTGTGTCCTCAGACCAGCAGTTTCAGCCTCACTTGGAAACTTGTTTTAAACAAAGATTCTCAGGCCCCACCTCAGAATTCTGGCCTCAGGAACCCAGTATCTGTGCTTTAAGGAGTGATTCTAGTATAGGCTAAAGTTCGAAATGACTGACCTAAGGTCACCTAACCAGGGCTCATTCTATAGGGAATTCTGTGAGGTCTTCCCAAAGCCAATAAAAGAAAACTTGAGATTTTAATTCCTTTTCTTCAAGGGGAGGACAACTTTATTGGCCAGATCTAGTTGGTTTCCACCATTACCCACCATGGAAACTTCCAACCACTTTTATCCTTGGGACACTCATCCCATTTGAAACTTTTCAAAGAAAATATAGCAGACATTGAGTTAAAATATTAAAACCAATACTGGTGCATTCCAAAACCAATATCGGGAATCATTCTGTACTACAGAGTCAAACAATTCTAAAAACTCCTCTCATCCAGGTTAGATACCCATTCAAAACATCCATAGCATTTTAACTCCCCTAACCCACAGACCTGCTCAATTGGCACACATCCTCTTACTGATGAGACTTAGAGACTTCTTATGATTGTGTGATGATGTCCATCTTCAAGGTCATCTTAGAAATGTTTCACAACTCCTGCAAACATGGAAAAAGTTACATGTGGCATACCAGAAACTTCAGCCAAGTTAATACAGGGCAGTGTAAAAAGTAAAATGAATATCCTGTTCTCCTATACTGCAGGATTGCTATTGTCTTCTGCTTTTATCAAGTGAACTCTCTCTCTTTCTCTTCAAAATCTAGGAACATCTCAAAGAGGATGATGTTGAATGCATCGTAAACCAGGACGAGCTTGCCATGAATTACCAGGAGCAAGGCACCTCACCCTGCAGCCCTCCTGGGGAGGACCAGAAAGCTTCACCCCACACTCCAAGCAAGGAAAACATTTACGAGGGGGACCTTGGCCTGGGAAGCTATGAACTCAAGCTCGAGAAAACTCTTAGTCAATCCCAGCTGAATTGATGGGCGTGAACAGCTCAGACATCACAGGTCATGCAGGGCTCACTGAGGAATACAAGCAAAGCTGATGAGGCTGAGGGCATGGAAAGAGGCTGGAAAGTGTATGAAGAGCAGAAACGAGAGATTCAAAACATACATCCTCTGGTGCCCACAGAAATGAGAATTTATTATCATCCCTCTGCATTAGGCAACTGATTTGAGTTTTGGACAGTGCCATTTTTATTAATGAATTGGGTAGGGTGGGGAGGGTGTGGGGATAGGAGACAGGCATCTAGTTGCTGGGAGGATGAAACAGTTGTTCTTGTATCTACAAGGTGTTTCTTTTCTGTATACAGCTCTCCTGACCCTTCCCTCAGATTTGAAATTCTATTCCCTCATTTGGGAGAGTTTTAAAACTCTGTTTAAAAAGACTTTCTGAGCTTAAATGCGTGGCTCCTAAACTGAAGGGAATACCCATTTATTCAGGAAGTGACACGTTTTACATGTTTAGAACCTAGGGTCCCACTCGCTCCTAGTGATCCAGGGCTATTTGTCCAGATAAGTGCTCCATACCACTGCTGATGGCCTTGGTGCGTGGGGACCCCTATCCTTCTGGGCATCCTCTTTAAGCGGCTCCTCCCACTGCTTGGAGGGGTTCCTGACAGCTGGGAAGCACTCCGCATTAAACGCAGTGCCGCTTTCCACCTGGGCGGGACCCCTTCCAGGGACAGTGGGGTTCTCTTCCCCGCACCAGGTTTCAACTTTCCTATCCTTGCTTGCATTCAAGTCACTTCCTGGCTCTGTGGCAGGTCCTTCTGTCTGTGGGGCGATGAGATGCCATCGCCCAGGCTCCTCTCCAGTTAGAGCTCTCACCTGTCAACAGCGGCGCGGTGCGCAAGAAGAGCAGGACTGTGCATGCGCAGAGCCCCCGTGCAGCGCCAAGGACGCAGCATCAGCACCCTCCTCACAAGACGTGGCTTGTGACCTGAGGCGGAGAGACCAACACAACAGCTTTTAATTCAGCTGCACGACCTGTGCCTTTAAGCCATTAAGATACCTCAAACCCAGCTTCTCTTGGAATAACAGATGTTCATATCAGACCCCGAAGAGGGCAGTCCCAGTCATAGGTGAGCAGGCTCTGAAGAGTCTGCATCTGAGGATGAGCGTCTCCCTGGGGCCCAAAGCTTGAAAGTAACACATGCTTTGCTGACGAGTCTTCAGGCTTTCGACACGAACCATGGAGGTGCCGGGCACGCCGCTATGCACAGCAATCCTCTTGCTTTCCAAACGGTAGAATCCAGGGGCACAAATTGTTTTCTACTCAGCTAAGTATATCCTGGTCATTCCAGATAAATATGGCAAGCAGCAGAGCATGAAGTTTTCTAATTTGACTTAATCCTAATAAAACTTTGTTATAAAGTACGATTGTGTTCGCTAGTACATTATTTTAATACGTCCTTTATGGTCCTAGGGCTTCCCTAGCTCAGTTTACTGACTGCGATATAGGACACCCAGGTTTGATTCCCGAATCTCCAGTGAAGATCCCCTGGAGAAAGAAATGGCAATCCACTCTAGTATTCTTACCTGGAGAATCTTCATGGACAGAGGAGCTTGGCAGATTACAGTTCATGGGGTCGCAAGAGCCGGACACGACTTAGTGACTAAAGCACCATCTACTGTCTTGCTAACTGGCAGTGCTAAGCCCTTACTCTTGAAGTGTCAGGTGAAGTGGGCACTGAAAGGTGATGTAAGGGAGATGCAGGCATCCTCTGGCCAGGAAGTCATTGGAGTTTCTGGCCGAGTCAATGATGCCTGCAGAGAGCATAGAGCTGGGAGGACATGAGAAGGGAAGGTGGAGTCAGGCAGAGGGGAGAAACTCCTCCTTTCACAGGGCAGGGGACCAGAAACCAAAAAGAGCTTCAAAAATAGGGGAGGAGGGACTAGAGGAAAAGGACCAAAGGAAGGGGAAAAGAGAAATGTTCCTCTTAACTTCTGCCTTTATCATGTGAAAGGAAGGGACAAGAACTCATGTTTTGTTTCTTTCCCTTTGCATGGAAAAAGACACACCAAGGAAAGAGAAGATCCCCCCAAAGCAGACAAATGTGAGTGGGGGCAGAAGTGGAGAGAAAGGAGAGAAATATGACATGCTGAATGGAAATGAGGGTCGGTGAAGAAGGAAAGGTACACGGTCTAACCCAGCACCAACTTGCTAAGATGGCAGAGCAAAAGTAGCCTCCTGGCCACAGGCAAAGCTCTCTTCTGCTTGGAAAAAGAATGTTTTTTCCAGCTGCACATCCTGAACCATTACCCACAGAAGATTGTGCATGTGTGCTCAGCCATGTCTGACTCTTTGCAACCCCATGGACTGTAGCCCCACCAGGCTCCTCTGACCATGGAATTTCCCAGGCAAGAATACTGGAGTGGGTTATTTCCTTCTCCAGGGTATCTTCCCAACCCAGGGATCAAACCTGTGTCTCTTGCATTAGCAGACGGATTCTTTACCACTGCACCACCTGGGAAGCCCCACAAGAAGATTGAGGGCTTCTTAATCTGGGTTGGACCACTTATCCCAGTGTCTCCAGCTAAGTATGATATTGGGCATTTGAGGAAATTGTGTCCCACCCAATAAGACAGAGTTCCAGCTTCAAAATGTAATAAACAGTCTCTTTCCCTCTGAGTCAGCCCAAGACCAGAACAGAGGCTAACTGGTTCACCAGTTAGCAATTCATAAACCCCAAATTCCCTTTTTGCTCCTGTTGTGAATAATAATAATTTATGATCTTAAATGCTCTGTGCTTTGATTAGCAGCATCAGGACTATGCAATTCAAGCCTATTATTTACTGCCAGTTTCTAATGAATAATAAAGGCAAAGGAGCTTTATTCAAACCACTAATGCTTGCATTCATTATTAGAGCTTTAAAAAGCACCCTAATTAATTGGCTTATGGTTCTTCTTTGAACTTCTTACCATATATACATCACACATATACACACATGAAGGTGCATGCACATACACACACACACACACACACACACACACACACACACACAGTAGCTCTCACTGTCAGGGTCCCAGCTAACACCTCTGTAGTTTTCTGCCTGGTACTCAGCACAAGTCTGAACAAGTTTGAAGCCCAGTGGCAAATGCTGTCATGGTCTTCATTCGTAAAGTTTCTAGAAACTTCTTGGAGGACAACTTAATGGTATAAGTCAAAGCTGAAAATTCAAATACCCTTTGACCCACCAGTTTTATGGGCAAAATTTTGATTTCAGATATTTGAGGATTTCATACATACAAAGAATATTTATTAAAACAAATGAATTGCTACCCTGGTTAAATAAAACATGCAACATGCATCTCATGAAACAGCATCATATGTACTGATATGGAATGATCTCCAAAATATATTGCCAAACAAAAAGACCAAGGTGCAGGGCAGATGGTATGCTGCCATTCTGGAAGGTTAAAGAAGAAACTGGTAGTATGACTGGCTCTTAAGAATTGAAGAGAGACCTAACACTTTTGTATCTTTTGGGTTTTGTACACTGTAGATGCATTATTTATTCAAAATAATAATGAGAAGAAGAAAATTCCTATGAAATAACACAGTGAGGTGCTGAGCTAAAATAGGAAGTAAGGACTGGAAAAGCTATTTTACAACACAGTCTTTGAGACCTTGGGAATACCAAATATAGCATCAATAGTACCAAGAGCTTCTGGTTTATTCATTTGCCTCATTCAACACATATGGATGCAAACTATATAAAAGGTCTTTAAAATTCAAAGATATGTGACTCAGTCTCATCAAATATCTAGAAGAAGACAGACACTATAAGGTATCTAGACATATGATAAAAGTATAGTAACAAAAACACTGGTTTTGGCTCAGAAATAAACAAAGAGAACAAGAAAACCTACTACAAAGGACAGAAACAAATTCATGACCTATATTTAGAAACTTAGTTCATAAAAAATGTCATTTCAACTTGGGAGAATGGATGAATAGACTATTATCCAATAAACAGTATGGACCAATTTGACATTCAATATGGAAAAAGAAAGAAAATTAGGTAATACTCTCAACATACACAAAATTAAATTCCAAGTAACTTTAAGAGTTAAATGGAAAAAGTAAACCTGCAGGATAACAAAAATATAAAATAAAATATGGATATGCATACAGATGGTCTTCCTGAGAAAGATACAAACCAAAAAAGAGAATGACACATTTGACTCCACAAAAACGTAAAATTTTTTATAATTAAAAACACAACAAGCAAAATTTTTAAATGAAGCAGAGAAAAATACACATATACTTTTTGTTTGTGTGACTAAGGATTATCCTTCAAATTATACAAAGAACTCTTACTGATGCATGAGAAAAAAAAAACTTCTGAACACAAAAATATGTCAAGAATATGTAGAATCAAGTATGATTCCTTCTATCCAGACTTCTAGTTTTATGCTTCCCTGTAGAAAAGAAATACTTGGCATTTATGCATGAGGAACTGTACAAAATGATATTCATTGTGACACAGTTATTACAAAATACTGGCGGAGAGGGGGAATACCCATCAATAGCAGGGGCTAACTAACTGTATTATACCCATATTCTGCAGCAGTTATACTCTCTGTGGAGATGGACCCATACACATAAACTCACATGGAAATATTTTCAAGATAAATTGTTAGTGAAACAGTCTGGACTGACTCCCAGTAGACTGATAACAAGATGAGGAATAAGAATGGGAGAGGTGAATCAAGAGAGCCTTTTGGTTTATCTACATTACTTTTAATTTTCACAATGATATTATTTTCATATATAATCAGTTCCTGAAGCTTTGGCTTCAAGATGGGGGAATGTGGTGGTCAAGAAAGTTGTCATGGAGGAACTTACATCTGAGGGAGGTCTTGAAAGATGAGAGTGTTTGACCAAGCAGACATGATAGATGCTGAACTGTGGGGCAGGTGGTAGGGTGGATCAGTATTAATAGAATATGGAAAAGGCATTCCAAACAAAGGAGAGAACCTGGGCAGGAGACAGAGGGGTGTGAAGCAGCCTGGTGCATTAGAGGAACTATACATTATTCCACATGGTGCTATTCATGTGTTGAACATAGGAAAATGGAAGAATAAAAGATAATTCTGGAAATGTAAATCAGATGAAGTAGTCTGAGCCATGATCCTTTGAGAATGGGGAGCTATTGAAATATTTTAAACAGGGAAGAAAATTACATGTATTGTGAGGAGACCGAATACCAGGAAGACTGGGTATTGGTGCAATAACCAAGTTTGGACACTATTATTTCACTGGCCAGGACAGAGACAATGAGAGGCTTAACTAAGGCAGAATCCAGGAGGATGGAGAGGAGGCAGCTTCTAGACAGGTTTCAGAACTAGACTCAACAAAGCTGGTCACGGGATATGGAAGGTGAGGAAGCTGGGGGAGCCCAGAAGGACCGCATATTTAAGGTTTAGGTGACAATATGTTGATGGCTCCATTCACTGAGGGTTTTAGAAGGAGGAACAAAGAAAAGCTGATAAATTCAACTCTGGACATGCTGAGTCTGAGGTTCTCAGGCAGCGCTTCATGGAGCTGTCCAGAGGTTTACAGGAATCTGAAGTTTAAGGAAAATGTCCAGGCTGGAGGTGTGTATTTGGAAGGAGAAGACGTGCATCGCAGCTTCACTGAAAAGTTTCTCAACTGCCACACGATCTTCCTCACCTGTCTCTAAGAAAGAGATTCTGATATGCCCTCCTCACCAAAGGACCATGTCAGAGTCTCCAAGAGGACAAGCACATCTTTCCTCAAAAGGCCCCGTAGATGATCCTCACTCAATCCTTGGGGAGAACCACTGACAATAAGAAGAAAGGGAATCAGACAGAGGCTGAAAGGTGCTCCATTCAGTGGATGGACAGAGTATGTACCCGTGGAAAGAGCCCTGGACAAGCCTTCACTGAGAATTCAGGAAGCTCTGCATGCCCATGGGACAGTGAACTAGCTCAGACAAGATTCATTTTTACTGCTACTGTGTTCGTGGCCTTGAACCATGACCCCGCCTCTCCTCAGCTATGATAGTTTCACTTGTCAATGTGGCTAGGATATAATCCCTATTCAATCAAATTTAAATCTAGATCTTGCTGTGGATGCATATTTTCAGATGTGATTAACATCAGCCCTCTGTTGACTAAGTTAGCTAATCTGGGTGGGCCTGTTTCAGTCAATCAAAGGCCTCACAAGTGGCATGCAGGTTTCTGAGGAGGAGAAGTTCTGCCTATGACCCTGTTCTGCCCGATGTCCGAATCCCTGAGCGGGAAGAGAGAACTTCCAAGACAATGCAATTTACAAAAAGGGAAGTTTTATTACTGACTCGAGTCAGGGCTTTCTGCTGCAACCAACACAGTGGCGCAAGGTCAGAAA